ACAACCATAACGAATGTGCATTCGTTATAATTATTTTTCGATACAAACGCACTTTCTTTATGGTTTTTTCGATCGAATTACTTGATAACGGTTATATATTCATGTTACATGTCATCGGAACGATAGTTTGAACGTGAAGAGCGTCGAAACACTCATAAAGAAAACTCTTTTTTTGAAATGACAATACTGGGTTTTTTTTTTGTTTTTGAAAAATAGAAGGATCATGTAATATCTTTGTAAATTCATTATTTGAACTTAAAAATGACCAAAATTAGACCTATAACGAGTTTAATATCCTTATAGTGTATTATACGACGAATGCACGGTCGTTTAAGGGGGATTTCGTCGAAAAACAACCATAACGAATGTACATTCGTTATAACGAATGCATATTCATTATAGTTATTTTTCGACACAAACGCGCTTTATTTATGGTTTTTTCAATCGAATTACTCGATAACGATTGTATATTCATTTTACATGTCATCAGAACGATAGTTTGAAGGTGTTAGAGCGTCGAAATACTCATAAAGAAACTCTTTATTTGAAATAACAATACTTGGTTTTTGTTTTTGTTTTTGTATAATAGAAAGATCATTGAATATCTTTGTAAATTCGTTATTTTAACTTAAAATGACCAAAATTAGACCTATAATGAGTTTAATATTTTTATAGAGTATTATATGACGAATGCACAGTCGTTTAAGGGGGATTTGGTCGAAAAAACAACCATAACGAATGTGCATTCGTTATAATTATTTTTCGATACAAACGCACTTTCTTTATGGTTTTTTCGATCGAATTACTTGATAACGGTTATATATTCATGTTACATGTCATCGGAACGATAGTTTGAACGTGAAGAGCGTCGAAACACTCATAAAGAAAACTCTTTTTTTGAAATGACAATACTGGGTTTTTTTTTTGTTTTTGAAAAATAGAAGGATCATGTAATATCTTTGTAAATTCATTATTTGAACTTAAAAATGACCAAAATTAGACCTATAACGAGTTTAATATCCTTATAGTGTATTATACGACGAATGCACGGTCGTTTAAGGGGGATTTCGTCGAAAAACAACCATAACGAATGTACATTCGTTATAACGAATGCATATTCATTATAGTTATTTTTCGACACAAACGCGCTTTATTTATGGTTTTTTCAATCGAATTACTCGATAACGATTGTATATTCATTTTACATGTCATCAGAACGATAGTTTGAAGGTGTTAGAGCGTCGAAATACTCATAAAGAAACTCTTTATTTGAAATAACAATACTTGGTTTTTGTTTTTGTTTTTGTATAATAGAAAGATCATTGAATATCTTTGTAAATTCGTTATTTTAACTTAAAATGACCAAAATTAGACCTATAATGAGTTTAATATTTTTATAGAGTATTATATGACGAATGCACAGTCGTTTAAGGGGGATTTGGTCGAAAAAACAACCATAACGAATGTGCATTCGTTATAATTATTTTTCGATACAAACGCACTTTCTTTATGGTTTTTTCGATCGAATTACTTGATAACGGTTATATATTCATGTTACATGTCATCGGAACGATAGTTTGAACGTGAAGAGCGTCGAAACACTCATAAAGAAAACTCTTTTTTTGAAATGACAATACTGGGTTTTTTTTTTGTTTTTGAAAAATCGAAAGATCATGTAATATCTTTGTAAATTCATTATTTTAACTTCAAAATGACCAAAATTAACCTATAGCGAGTTTAATATCTTTATAATGTATTATATGACGAATGCACGGTCGTTTAAGGGGAATTTGGTCGAAAAACAACCATAACGAATGTGCATTCGTTATATGAATGTACATTCGTTATAGTTGTTTTTCGACACAAACGCACTTTCTTTATGGTTTTTTTGATCGAATTACTTGATAACGATTGTATATTCATGTTACATGTCATCGGAATGTTAGTTTAAAGGTGTTAGGGCGTCGAAACACTCATAAAGAAACTCTGTTTTTGAAATAACAATACTTGTTTTTTTTTTGTTTTTGAAAAATGGAAAGATCATGTAATATCTTTGTAAATTCGTTATTTTAACTTCAAAATGACCAAAATTAGACCTATGACGAGTATAATATCTTTATAATGTATTATATGACGAATGCACGGCCGTTTAAGGGGGATTTGGTCGAAAAACAACCATAACGAATGTGCATTCGTTATGGTTATTTTTTGATCAAATATAACTATAACGATTGTACCTTCGTTATATAAGCCATTAAAAATATATTACTCTCGTGATAGGTACAAGTGTAGTCATTTTTAATAACGAATATACAACGATTTTACTTTTTCTATGCATTTTGTTTTTTTAAAAAAAAACAAGTATCGTTATTTCACAAAAAGAGTTAATCGTCGTTCCAGGCCGTCACGGGCGCGAAGGTTGTCGCAGTCGCGACACTCACAATGACAGAGCCATTCCCAGGATGGCGCGGGCGCGACTCTGACGCTGATAGAAATGGTGCCAGGACATCGCGGGCGCGACACTGACGCTGACAGAAATGGTGCCAGGACGTCGCGGAAGCGATGCGTGTCGCGAGCGCGACACTGACACTGAGAGAAATGGTGCCAGGACGTCACGGACGTGACACTTATCGTGGTCGCGACACTGGCACCCTTTATGTTGGGCAGAGAGCCTGGCAGGAACGTCGCGGCAGCGACGTCTGTCGCTGTCGCGACTTCCACCTTTGTCGCGCCAGTGACATGTGCCGCGTCCGCGACAGAAGATAGTTTGTTGCAGAGGATCTTACTTTTCAAAATAACGAATGTACAATCTTTATTTCATAAAAAATAACGATTGTACATTCGTTATTTTTTAAACGACTTGTAATAGGTTCCTCGCCTTATTTTTGGGAGCTCGACATCGAACCCCTTCATTATTTATTACATTAAAACTTCTCGTTACAGTAATATTTTTAACCATTTTGATAAAATACTATTAACCATTGCATTGGGAAGTACGTAAAAAATACAACTTCAAAAATCGACCACCCCCATCATTGCATTGAAAAACACATGAAAAATAATACAAAAATGTATTACCCAAAAGATCCCTACAACCCGTTACATATTGAATGTTTAAAAAAACTATGGATCAAAATGAGCACCAAATATTTCAGCCGCTAATTTTACACGCCAAGCACTAATCCGAGATTGATCTATGCCTTCAACATTCTTCCCAACATTTGTTCTAAAATATATTTTTTACTACAAATCGATCTTTATGTGCACTGTCTAGGTTGTCAAATACTTCACGGACAACTTTGAGGTTGCACCGATTGGTCACGACTGCTTTGCATTTGGAAGGTATATCAAACGCATATTTCTTTTTTGGTTCCTAAAACAGAAAAGAAAGACAACATAAGTCATAATAGATCAAACAAGCAATAAGCACTAACACTGAACTTAAATAGATCAAACAAGGAGCTTAAATTAGGTATATAATGTCGTTTCCAAAATTGCTATAACAATTCTTGTAAAGTACTCTCGTTATTGGTTTTAATTTAATACATAAGAATGTACATTCGTTATTTCATACACCATAACAAATGAATCTTCATTATAGTTATATTTTCATCTCGGTCAATTAAATACACCTGTACATTGACAATATAATACATTATGACGATATTTTACTCGTTAAAGTTATAAGTTAAACTCATTTCTAAAGGATACTAATAAAACGATTCTTTATTCTATATCGAGCTTTTTTTATAAAGGATACATTATGATAAGGATTTTAAGAAGTACAACATTCGTTACATCAATCACACACACATTCATTATGATTTTCAACATAACTAATGAACGATTCTACTTTAACGATTGTTATTTTCGTTATGGTTATTTTTTGATCGAATACAACTATAACGATTCTACTTTAGTCTGATCTTCACCTTCATTAATCATTAGTCATTTTTTTTCTATCCATTTCTAATAAGAAAACAAGTATCGTTATTTCACAAAATGAGTTTTGTTATGAGTATTTCGACACTATAACGAGTTCAAACTATCGTCCTAATGTCATATATAGCGGAGATAGAATCGTTAACACGTCATTCAATCAAAATAACCATAACAAGAGTACATTCGTTATGATTTCCAACATAACGAATGTACATTCGTTATGGTTATATTTTCATCCCCTTCGATTAGGTACACCTATACCTTCGCTATTTAATACGTTATAACGATATTTTACTCATTATAATTATAATTTAAGTCATTTTTAATGGATTCTATCAATTTCTATAAAGAAACAAGTATCGTTATAAGTATTGCAATGCTATAACGAGTGTGCATTCGTTCTAGTGTAATATAACAAAGATAGATTGATTGGTTCCAAGTATACCACAAGTAGCATAGCCAACATTTCATCAAACACATAGAGTGCAAGATTTCATTAACTCAATCCTACAAGCATTTCATCAAACACATAGAGTGCACCAATTATCATCTTCAATTCCATCAAAACTTGCAAAATTAGATGAATTCAAATAACACAATCAAAGGAAGGAAGAAAGAAGAAATTAAATACCGTGACTAATTGACAAAAATCGAAAAATATACGTACCAAAATTGACGAGAGAGAGTTTCATAGTGATCGTGCGCGAGAGAAGCAGGTCGAACGGAAGGAAGAACAGAGAGCTAAGTTATTTTTCACGTGAAGGAAGAACAAAGAGCTAAGCAGGTCGATCGTGCGCGAGCGGAAATTTTCAGGAAGAACAGAGAGCTACGAAGATGATTTGCATGGAAGGAGAAGAGAAAAAATGAGGTAAGCTGTTTTTTTTTTAAGGGTATATTAGTTACTTCTTATTTAATATGATATCTTATTAAGTTTTATTGTCAAAATTAAGGGTTATTTACACAATTTGTTATCTGCATTTCCACCCCAAAGTTAGCTTACAGCTGTCCGACTTAATACATTTCCGGGGTGAAAACGCAGATAGAGAGAGGGTGGACTTATGCTGAGGCGTAAACCTACCAAAATCGAACTCAAAGCGGAGGACAAAGAAGAGCTCGAAGAGGCCCGCCGCCGCCTCCTCCTTCCTCTCCCACTTCGATCGCCCCACCCACGATCCCTCCACGTAATCCCACGGTATCGGCCTCTCCTCCTGAATAAAATTCGATCGATCACGGGTCCCGTCTCGAGGCTAGCCGTGGAGGTCGAGGTGAAGCTCCGCCTCCCCAGCAAATGCTCCCACCGGAGCCTCCTCTCCCTGCTCTCCCCCTTCCGCGCCGCCACCCACAGCCAACACAACACCTTCTACGACGGCTCCGCCGCTGAACTCAGCTCCCGGCGGGCCATCCTCCGCCTCCGATTCCACGAGGGTGCCGATCCCTCCCAAAAATGCTTCGCCTGCCTCAAGGCCAAGGCCGTGCTGGCCGGCGGCATGAGCCGCGTGGAGGAGGACGAGGAGGAGGTGGACCCAGCGGCCGGGAGGGCCTGTTTCGTGGGGTTGGGCGGGTTTAGGAATGTGTATGAATGGGGTGGGGTGAAGTTGGAGGTGGATGAGGTGAAGTACAATTTCGGGGAAATGTATGAGGTGGAGTGTGAGAGCACGGAGCCCGAGAGGGTCAAGCGGATGATTGAGGATTTCTTCATCGAGTACTCTGATTCGGTCATGTCCAAGTTTGGGATTTTTCGAGCAGGAAAGTTGCCTTGTTTAGTGCATTATGGGTAGGTGCTTGTGATCACAAGTATCTTTGTATTCAGCTAGCACATTAATATATTCAACTACTTTGTTGCAAAAGCAATATATTACTCTCTGGTTTATGTCTGTTTATTGAAATAATGTGACTCATTCAGACATATGACGAATGGCATGTCTGTATTTTGGCGTCATTATTGTGCATTAAGTGTGGTTTCGGAATAAACCCTTTGGTTTTTTGATATTGGTGTTGAATGCCGTGTTGTCGGCCAAAAGGCTCATTCAGTTTGTCAGCACTTATTTCAGAATTCGCTGAACTGTTTTGATTGGTGAATTGAGTTGGTTTCATACGAGTACTTTGTGATGACTGATACATTAGTCTGCTGCTGGTAGCGTAGTGATGAATGGTTGAGCTGATCCTTGATGAAGTCAATGACATACTTACATATGTTTGGTTTGTTGTTTGTTGATCTTAACAAGTCTTTAGCAGTCCTATATGCATTCATTCTCCTTAGGCTTTTATCTAGTATTGAATCAAGCACCTAACTGAAAACAGACGTGGCATGATGGTGTTTTTAACGTAATATTGCGTTAAAAGTTTTGACAACTTGCCAAATCTTGATGGCTGATGTTAGAGATAGTGCATTCGAGTTTTTCATTATATGGACTGATGCGTTAAAAGTTTTGACAGCTTGCCAAATCTTGATGGATGATGTTAGTGATTAGTGAATTCGAGTTTTTCATTATATGGCTGATTTGCAATCTGCTAACCATCATCCTCGCCTATCTTAAACTTTTTCAGGATCCAGAGCAGTACGACATTCTTCCCTCCACCACAACATTCGGGTCATTTAGATATCTTCATGTTGAGCACTTGCACTCTAGTGTTGTTGGATGTTTTTTTTTTTTAATTAGGGTCTGATAGCGTTTTTTGCTTTTCAGTCAACTTGACACAAGTCTTGTCAACTCTATTGGTTTTTCATTCAATAAGTGTCTTTTCTTTAATCACTAAAGATGTGTATGTAAAAGAAATAATTTGAGTGAATTAACTCAAAGTGAATCTTTTTAGTTAACTAAGATTAATTTAGAAAAAGTGGTATAGTTAGTTGTTAGTGAAATTTTAATTTTTATATTAAAATAATATATTAAATAAAATAATTAAAATTGCTCTGATGTAAAAATATGAGAGAGATGATATGAAATGAAGGTTAGTTAAAATTATGTGAGTGGATGAAGTGTGAATTAAAGTTGATATCATGTGTAAAAATGATTGGTTATTATTATTTAATGTTTGATTGTTATTATTTAATTATATGATAGTGGAGTTGAGTTAGATTTTGAGTATATGAATTAATTGGTTTGAGATTTTTCTTTTACAAACATAGCCTAAATGTTTACTTCTGAATGCAAACAATGAAGTTCTGTTTCATTTAATTTGCCTTGAGAATGATCATTTTGTACATGGATGTAACGCCCCACTTTTATTTGCCAAAATTTAGAATCAATTTTTCAAAATTTATTTCAAACCACTTGAGGCGCTACTCAATTTCCAAAAACAATTCCAACAATGTCACATATGCAATTCCCAACGAGTTCAATATTCATAAATAATCAACACCCAAACCGGGTTCAATAACCATAAATAGTCAATACCCAAACTGGGTTCATAAATGACATCAACTCCCAAAACTGGGTTCATCAAATCCATAATACTAGGGAGTACACTCTCTATCGATAATCCAGTACTCGACATAAGTCAGGAATGCATAAATCATATTAAACAATTTAAGCAGCGAAAATAATCAATAACATGACCACCACTCGCCTCCCTCTGTCGTGCCCGCAATACTAACCTGCATCCATGAAGAGCAGGTGGGGATGAGCACAATAGGAAATCGAGGTGCTCACCACTATGCAATAATTAATGTTCAATTTCATGAAATAAAGCAGGTATGGTCGTAGTATGAACACAAATCAATTTATATCCCATCTCCTTCCCAGAGTCAACTCTCATGTGCACACCTATACCAATAGACCACTGCTGATACACGTATGGAAAACCCCCGCGGGCCTTACATTCGATGCCCAGACAGTAGGAGTAAATCCACCCCGAATGCCCGGAAATATCCTTTCGGACTTACATCGAGAATCACCAGCCAAGGCTCACGCTCTGACTGCCATACATAAATAAAGGAGACACCCCGTCAGGCACGTTCTATAGCTACGGGGATAACCGTTTGACGGCTAATATGACTCACATCGAAGGCTACATGATTCACATGCATACTTTGATCATACCACAACAATAACAATTAATTAATGCATAGAAACTTTTCAAATAAAACCCACCTGGATAGCAAGAGTGTTGGGTTCGTCTGTACCGTACGAGCTATACGCAGCGGAATTTAAAATTTTTCAAAAACATGTATTTAACATTTAAATACATAACTCGTACATACATATGGAGAATTAACAGATCGTCATCTTTAAAAACATGTAATAATACAAATTTTGATTTGTTTGAAAGTAAATACAATATTTACCTAAAGTTCTCGAACTCCTTCAAAAACGATGATGGATGAGGGAATCAATTCCCGGTTTGGTAACGACCGTTCGTGATGATTACTCGCTTAGGAATTCACGTGCCTTCCCTCTAAATGTATCCACCTTTCAAATTCCGGTTCCGATAGCCTCTTTCTTCGCTAGTAGAAAAGTATCGGTTTTGTATAGGAATATTAAATTGGATAATATTTTTTGGATAAAAATTTAAGAACTCTTTCTTAAATATATTTGAAGAACTTTTCTTCTTTTCCAACTCTTTGGAGAAACTTAAGTCTTAAGCTTAGAACACTTAGAAAAACTTAGCATTTTTGTGCAAACTCTTTACACATATTTATACTAAACTTTTTAGTATAAAATAATCAATATTTAGTAATATTTAAATAAAATCAGATTTTATTTAAATATGATTACTAACTATTGACTTTTATATAATAAACAATGTGGAGTGGTTCTCAACCTCCTTTAACCACTAATTATTATAATTCTTTTATTATTTTTAATCTTTAAATCATATTTAAAGATAAAATAATAAAATAATAAATCTGAAAATCTATTATATTATTTTTCTCCCAATATTATCTAATTTATAATAATCATATTATTATTATTTTGGATTTAAAATTTAAAATCCAATTTTAAATTCCAACTTATTAATTTAGTAATTACTTTAATTACTAAAGTAATATCCAAAATACAATTAATCAATCTCATTGATTAATTTAGTATATTCCTTTAATTGACATCTAATCAAAATTAGATTTTTGTCAATTAATTCTAACTCTTTAGAAATACTAATTTTCACCTTCATTCAAAAATTGGTGTGACCTTTTAGGTTCACAATTAATACTAGTAGTGGGTTTACAACTCTTTGTAATTTGAGTTAATCAAATTAACTCTTATTCTTGAATTAACCCCTTAATTCAAGAACCCACATATCATGGGAACATCTAGCAAGTAGCATGAATCTAGTATTAATCGGATAGCGAGTAAACCTATTTCGATTACAATTACATACATGTAAAATCCTTTCTACATCCAATTTCCCGATTAAATCTTGGGTATGATTTTAGTCGAAACCCAAATTGATTTAATAACTATGATTCTATTTCATGTTTAGTAATTTGCGTACGAATCTCCATTCATCCCGCCTTGGCCAAGGACTTTGAATTACTAATTATGAAACACATAGGAAATTCACTTATCTTCATAAGTGTCGAATCCTTTGTTGGCCACTAACAAACTTCCATACATATTAGCATAATACCCAAAATATCCCTTTATACGATTGTGCTAGCAACCAAAAGGATAAATCAAAGTAGAATGTAATATGCACAAAGTTACCATTGTGCCTCAAGTCTTAGGATTAGTCATGTACTATTGTAACATGAAAATTCTTATTCGACAGAATAATTCTTCATTAAGAATTTTCATACGGTCATGTTCAGTGAACTTGTTCTCTAACAATCACCCACATATATGTACTTGCGTCCCACGCTAATGTTGATGGAATGCAACATTCTTGTCCAACAAGCATACATACTATGTGCAAGTCTTTTATGGATTATTTGATATCCCTTTTCGAAACATCCATCGACTTGGAACTTTATTTAAGATCACAGCTTTTAAGATATGTTCCATGATTACCATCTCTATGCGCAACCATATCTTATAGCCATAAGTGATCTAGGGATTTTATCTTAAGTGCAATTATAATATAAATGCTTACTCTTAAGATAAAGAAATGCCTTTGTTAATAATATAATTCCAATAGATCGTATTTTCAAGTAGAATACGTCCAATCCAATTGGAACGCCGGGTATACTACTCTAACAATGAGGTATAGCCAAACACAAAGTTGAAGGAATTACGGCACGAGTTCAGCTCGAAGGACCTACAACAATTTATAAGGACCCATCACTGACTGCCCAGTACAAAACAACACATAAGGCACATATACTTAGCCGAAATCATATCGACCAAGTGACTCGTGGATTCCTTGACCGAGTTAGGTACTATGGAGTGACTACCAGACCTGGACACAACTCAAATACTTCATATAATTCACATAAATCATGCCAACATTAAATAAATCCTATCCGAACCTAACCAATCGATAACCGAAGATTTAGACTACAAAATAAACAAAATTCAGGATCAGAAGTTAGGCTCAGCCAATCAACCCGAAACATTACCACATAATAAAACATGCAAAAACACATAAACTCACCAAGTTTCGGCCCTAAATTCATCCGGGAACATTCTTAAGTAATTAAGGAAAAAACAGCGTTAAAATCAGTGTTTAATAGTTCGCATATCTACACTTCGATTTTCAGTTTGAAATTTTTACATAACCTAAAACATCACATAATAACATGTTCCTGAATGTTTTAGCTCAAAATTCCAAGTGTAAGATTTTTAATGAATTTTACAAGTTTCTGCACATAAATCGTTTTAAGCATTTGAACACCAGAAACTCAGAAATAAAATTCGGGGCTTGCAACACATATTCCACATAATTAGTGGCATAAAATATCAAAATTTCAGCGCAAACGGATAACGACTCGATTTATGGTGAATTTATTACGATTCAGCAGCATGCTCAGATTTGAAAAATCATAACTCCTTATATATAACTCGAAACGACCTCAAACCAAAACTAATAGATCAAGGACAATTCCAAGTACCTATAACTCTAGGATTTCCACGAAACGAACCACATATATTCAGTTCGACAATGATTCAAAGTGACGGCAATCACTTTGATATCAAATTTGCAATTATACTTCAACATCCTCACAATTATTTATCTAACAATAATCAATCAACACATATTAGCACATATGGTTCGGATAACACGTCACACAAATACGTTCAGCAACTCACATAATCAAACACATGAAATATCACATAAAATTTAACGAGACGGGTCAAGCCTTGTACCGTTCTCGGGAATAAACGTTCGAACGAAAAGAAGGTGAACGAACGGCACGCAAAGACGGCTCGAGGCTCGACGGCAAGCTTCGTCTCGTAGCAAGAAGGAGCAGTGACGGCTCGATCGTCGGAAGCGGTTGCTGCGTTCGGGAATTGCCGAAAAACGGGCTGCTGGACTTCGCCGAAGGAACTTGCAGCGAACAGGAGAGGGGCAGCAAGGGCGGTGATTGCTCGCAGAGGAGGAGCACGGTCAGGACTCGCAGGAAATAGAGTGATCGAGGGGGATGCTGCTCGTTTACGGGCCGCAACTAATTGACGGAGAGATGACTGGCAGCGGAGGTGACGAACTCGCTTCTCGTCGCCGGGAGAATTTCCAATCACGGGGTCCGTCATCGCTCTTCGAAACTTGATTATGTTCCCATGAGTCCTATCGCCTTATACTCAAAAGGCATGTACTCATATACAGGAACCAATCCGACTCGCCCTATG